CTCTCTCTCTCTCTCTCTCTCTCTCTCTCTCTCTCTCTCTCTCTCTCTCTCTCTCTCTCTCTCTCTCTCTCTCTCTCCCGCGCGACTTTCCTTCTGTGTATTTCATTTTTTTTTTCGTTTGTCTATTTCATTTTTTTTTCCTTCTTTCTTTTATTGTTTTTCTGTAGTAGTGTCGTCCCTACGGAACCGCGGCCCGGCCTTCGCGCTACGACCGGGCCTTCCCTTGGCCGACCCCCCAAGGCTACGGCGCGTATACGGGAAGGCCCGTGGCCGATAGCTGAGCGAGGTACTGGTGGTTTAAGGTTCCCGACTCAAGAAAGTCCCGCTCTGAAACTCGAGGGCGGCCGTAGGGTGCCCAGGCAACTTCGGCCAATTTTCAAGTCACCTCCCAGAGGTGACTTCAATTTTCTTGGAAACGGCGCCAACCCCCCGTCCGGTCCTTTTTTTTTTTTTTTTTTGCCAATCGCGGTTGTCCTGGCCCAGCTATGGGCCTGGGTTGTGAAAATTCCCTAACGAACCGGGGCGCACATTTTCCCGCTCCTTTTGCGAGCGGGAACTGCACGGTGTAGTGGAACGACGACGACCTCTAGTATTTTTTAGTTACGTTTTGGCTCAAGGGCGCCCGTAGGGCTGCCCTTGAGATTTTTTCAAGTCGAGGGTAGTGGAACGAGGCCCATACAGAAGGCGGACCACTGGACACCAAGAAATGAAAGGGGGGGAAAAAAAAATATTGCCTTGTTTTTAGGTGCAGGGAAGGTGCTGGCTTCTTCTGATTTGGGAAGTTGATTTTTGCCGCGGGTCCTGGAAAACCTGCCACCTGCACATTTGTTTTCACTACCTCCCGAACTCGACGGGAATACCTGCAAACGAGTAACCTACGCGAAGGTGTACGTGGACGTCACGCAGCTGCCTGGTCGTGAAACCACCAGGGTGTTCATCGAGTTTCGCACGCTCCAGGAGGCCGCCAACTTCGTGCACAGTGTCGCCACTTTCATCGGCAACTTGATGCTCCTAGATGATCGGCACCGAGAACCGGTGTGGAACTTTTTGCAAGAGTAAGCGGTCAAGGTAGCGAGATCGGTGGCACGCGTGCAGGGAAGGGGGCATCGATTCACGCTGTATCACGCAGTGTTGCGATGGACGTCGGACGGACTGCTGGCACTTGTGCCTCAATTGCCCGCGCTTCTCCCCCCCGCTGATCCTTTAAACATCCAAGCCATCCCCGCTCCCTCATACTAAATGCCTCCCTTCTTTTCTTACACCACCCTCCCCTATCAACTCACGAAGAGCCCCTACCCGATGCGCAATTTCCCCGAGTACCTGGTGGAGCTGGAGGATGTGAAGCCGTTGCCGCAAGTTGAGGAGGACGCGTGGGAATTGCACCGTGCGCTGTATCGATCGGTGGTGCTGGGCATGTTCCGGTTTGCCGTGTCGTATGACGATCACAACATCGTCGAGAACCTACACGTGTACTACGTCATCTCGCGACCCAAGCCGGAGAAGAAGGAGGGCATGATGGCATTATACCCGTTCGGGATCGGGACGAGCAGGCCGGGACTGCTGGAGCTCATTCATATTGAGTTGCTGTCTATCGCGCAAGTGATCACCAGCGAAGAAGAGGATCTCGAACCCCGCCTGCGAACAACATCGGCTCCGCGGCGATCTTACCACGCGGCGGTGATATTGGACTATATCGCGCGGGAGGGGGGAAAGGTGGTGAGCATTACCGATCGAAAGTCGATGCGGCCTCCCTCATCCTACCCCAAGCCAGTAGCCCCGGGGGCCCTCATGAAGACGCCCAAGAAGAGACGTCGCCAACCATCGCCAGAAGCGCAAGGAAGCCGAGTGGGACCCGGAGAAGAGGTGGACCAGGCTGGGCGGGTGCGGAAGCCAGATCCCGTTCCAGAGAGCAAGGTGACACCGATCGAGGGACCTCCACCAGGGGAAGGAGCGGAAACAAGTAGATTTCGGATACACGGAAGCCCTCCGAAGCCGACATCTCAACCGCCGCTCCTTCCCGACCTCAATCTTGGTGGAGCCGCCCCATCAGCACCAGCAGGAGGAGGAGGAGTGGGAAGAGTACCATATCCCGCACCCAGACCCCCCATCCTCGCAGGACCTTTCCGCTTCCGCTAGCCACCCATGCGTGCCCCGGTCATTGACCTTAGTAGTTCCTCCGAGCCAGACGCTGCAGACGGTCCCGTTCGATACAGCATAGCAGACACAATTCCCAATTCAAGCACATCCAAAACCAACAACCTAGTGAGTACTGCAATCCAAGCAAGAGGATATGTCGAGTATAAAAGCAACCTAATATCTAACCCTACTAAATTACCGGAGCTAACCGAAACTGCACCCACATGCGAACAGGATGTGCCGACGAAAACTAGCCAAATACTAAATTGAAACATATCTATATACCTCACAACGCCATTCCTGCTAGCACCAAGACGCAGAACAAACATGACAAAAGGTTAATGAGCATCGGACTGCCTTGCGACGTAGGTAGGTCCAATGAGACTTGCTGTAGTCCTTGGACATGCCGGAGCGCTGCCACTGCTCTCCCACTGCGTCCAGGTGCGCCGCTCCGTCTTCTATGCTTTTCCAAGTGAACGAGGCAGTCGGGATGGCGTGTTGTGAAGTACAGCGCACGGCCTTTGGATGGTGAAAAAGGAGGCCCCCCTTTCCAGCAGGAGGCTTGCGGGGAGGACGGCTCCTCTGCTATCGAGATCTTGTTAGGTATGATGGTTGGTGTGAAGGTCAAGTGCGGAGCTGCCAGGATGCCATGGCGTAAGAGTGCAAAGCACTCTCTACCCACTCAAGGGCTAGGCTACGCCAGGGCACTATCGCCATAGCTCTCACACAGCTATGGTGCCTGGCAGGGTAGGCGCCTCGTGCAAGGAGATCAGCGTCGACATACCCGACGTTGCATCCTACACAGCCGCCGCTGACGATCGGGCGCCGCCACCGCCGCTATCGCCGCTCCGTTTAGTGCACATTTTTGCGCCGCCGAGCTGGCCTTTTCTAGCGGTTCAGTCAGGCACATGACATTTTTATTTTTTTTTTTCGTGCGTCACACTGCGCCGTGTCGCGGCTGGAAAAAAAAAAAAAAAAAAAAAAAAAAAAAAAAAAAAAAAAACACAGCCCCATGGTTGGGCCACGGCCTCGGCCACACCCCAGACTGGCCATGGCCAAGATGTCTCGGCCACACCCCAGATTGGCCACGGCTGAGATGTCTTGGGCACACCCCTGATTGGCCATGGCCGAGATGTCGCGCGGCGGGGCGTGGCGGGGTCATTCAAACCTGGGTCTGTATTTCAACAGTGGAAGGATGGAGGCCAAAAAAGAAAAAGGAAAGAAAAAAAGGAAAAAAAAAAGAAAAGACACCCACGTGGGAAGACCCTCACGTAGGTGGAAGTTACACCAGTGCGTGGAGGAATGTATCTGGCCAGCATGTGAGGACTGTAAGACAGGTCGTTTTCTTTGTTTTCTTTTTGTTGTGAGGTCCTTGTAGCGCCCTGCCAGCCAGGCAGGGCGGATTCCACGCGAGGCAGCTACCGTCTTCCCCTGAACATAACGCATGCTGAAAATGAACGTATACAAGCTGTCTTTCCGGTTCGATGCAGTCAAAATGAGGGTGTGTTGTGTTCGGGGGAAGATAGTAGCTGCCTTGTTTCATTCAGTTCCAGACAAGTACTGTAGCATCCTGTATCGGACCGCAATCAGAGCATAAGGGATGCTTTTTTTCTTTTCTTTCTTTATCTGCTGTTGGTGGGTAGAAGAGGGCCCTGACTGAACAGCTACCTAAAGGCAGGTCGAGTTTCAACTGCAATTGAAACTCGGCCCCTGACTACAGTGCGAAATCAGTGTTTCGAATGCACTTACAAACTATTTTCGTGACTGCGCCGTAGTTACCCCCCCCCTCAAAAAGAAAAACAAAAAAAACATGAGGCCAGCTGTTCTCTCTCTCTCTCTCTCTCTCTCTCTCTCTCTCTCTCTCTCTCTCTCTCTCTCTCTCTCTCTCTCTCTGTGTGTGTGTGTGTGTGTGTGTGACCACCACCGCCGAATTGCCGGAAGAAGAAGAAGAAGAAGAAGAAGAAGAAGAAGAAGAAGAAGAAGAAGGGAAAAAAAAACAGCAAGAAAGAAAAGGGGAAAAAAAAAAAAACAGCAAAGAAGAAGAAGGTTCCCCCTGTTCAAAATTTTTAAAAGGACTCTAACACCATATCATTCATGAAAAAAATAGAAAAAATAAAATACTGCTTTTCTTTTATTTATTTTTATTTATTTTCTTTTTAACCAATTTTCGTTTTTCATTTTTTAAAATTCATAAATGAAGTCAAATTCAAAAAAAAAAAAGGGGTTGTACCATAGTTGCGGCGCACGACGGTGCGCCGGTTTGCGCACGATTTGTGCACGATTTGCACACGATTTGCGCATGATTTGCGCACGTAGTGCCGCGCACCGCACAGCGCACTGTGGCGCCCCGCACAGCGCACCGTGGCGCCCCGCACAACAAAAAATAGGGGTAGGGGGAAATTTTTTTTTTTGGGTTTTCGTTCGGAGGGCGGGCCCCCACCTTGGCAAAAATGACGGGTGGGGCGCGCGACTCGGGACACCGGCCGCGCCCTGCCTCCGAAATTTTTTTGGGGGTAAGGGCTTTCGAATTCGGCAGGCCCTTTCCCCACAAGTTTTTGGAGAAGGGGGACGGCCGTTTTCCCGGACTCACACGCCTTCTCGCCATTTCAATATTCACGTCACAAAGGAGGGAGGGGGAGACGCTGCGAGGGACGACCAAGAAGCGAGCAACGAAGGCGGGGAGCAGCGGGGGGAGGGCGGCGAAGGTGGGAGAAGCGGGAGACCGACAAAGGTGAGAAGAGTGGGAGATCAACGAAGGAGGGAGGGAGGGACACAGCGGGAAACCATCGGCGTACGGCAGCCGCAAGACACCATCGGCTCGAAGCAGCTATGGGAAGGAGCAGCGGGCAGCGGGAGACCGGTGGGCAGCAATGAAGGTGCGCGCCCACCACCTGTCTCTCTCTCTCTCTCTCTCTCTCTCTCTCCCTCTCACACACACACACACACACACACACACACACAATCAGTTTTATATCTGCTGGCCTTTCTTCTATTGTCTGTCCTCCCCCCGACTTTTTCTAAGTATGTTTTGTGTACCCAACTGAGCACCCTTAAGTAGTGCCAAATAGTCGGTGGTTCCTCGTTTGGACTGCCTACTGCACTCTTATGGGGGCCACTCGGTTCGGGATGTCTGCGTTGCCTGTACGTGATGACGGATGGTCGTCGGAGTGTCCCCCTGGCTCAGCGGGTGGTGGGAACCAACAATCTGCGGGGTTCTATCGTGATGTGAGTAGGTCATGTGCTGTTTTGCTCCGTGTTGGATGTGTAGACTGTCTTGCCTGCGCTCTACCGCGGTCTTGCTGCCCGTGCCGCTTGCTTTGCAGGTCGTCCTCGCTGCTCTGTTGCCTTGCCGCCTACCCACGGGTCGTGCCTCTCGTGTCTTTTGCTCGTGTGCCTTGTGGTTTGGTAGTCTTGTGGCGGTGCCTCGCGCTTCGCTGCACGGTTGCTGGGCTGCTTGTCCGTGTGCTCTGTCAGTCTTCAGTGTCCTTTGTGTGCATGCCTTATAGTTTGGTTGCCTTGTTGGTGGTGCCTTGTGCTTCACTGCACGGTTGCCGAGCTGCTCGTCTGCTTGCCCTGTTGGCCTTCTGTGTCCTTTACTTGCTTGCGTGCTTTGTAGTGTCGTCGCCTTGCTGATGTTGCCTTGCGCTTCACCGCACGATTGCCGAGCTGCTCGTCCGCTTGCCCTATCGTTCCTTGCAGTCGTCTTTGGTGATAAGCAGTTGAGCTGCCTCTACTGTGTTGCCAAGTGCTCCACAAGGTTGCTGCCCGCTGCTATGTCCCGCTTGGGGACAGTCTGCCTTCAATATGGGTCAAAGGGTTCATGACCCAAACCCTCAAATACAGGGATTCCGCAGATTGTCAAGGGTTCAACCTCCTGATGAGTCGGTGCAACTTTGACGAAACAATCTTTCATCATCTTTTTATTTTTTTCAGTCTTTGTTTTGTTTATACTTATTTCTTTCGGGTGTTGTGTTTGCATTGTCGTCGTTTGTCTTGTTGTTGTTTCCCTCGCTGCCTTACGCTGTTTGCTTGCCCATCCGTCTACCCCATGTCTTTCACCCAGTGTGCTTTGTTGTGTTGTGCTGTTTGCCTTGCTGTTGTTTCCCTCGCTGCCTTTTACTGTTTGTCGGACATAGGAGTGCACTCGGTGCAACTCCTGGGTAATTAGTTTCGTACATCCGAAATAACCATTGTTCAAGGGTCTACATTATCTGAGAAGGCATTCTGTATTGTATTGTTTGCTGCGCTGTTTTTGGCATGGTGGCTTCCTGTTCTCGCAACACACACACACATACACACATGGAACCAAACAAACAAGTTTGGCGGTGTATATTTCCATGTTATAGTCGTAGATTCGTCCGATTATGCTCATCCTATCGATGGAAGTAGTGTGAGGTCGGCCGCGGGGTTGGAGACTTACCTGTTGGCCGGTGCGTTCCTCATCCTGTCCATGGAAAACTAACTCTCTCTCTCTCTCTCTCTCACACACACACACACACACACACACACACACACACACACACACACACACACACACACACACACACACACACA